GTGACAATCTCCTGCTCACACACAGATGAGCCAAGCCCGGGGCCAAGGCAAGAGGAGGAGAAGGAGGATGAGAAGGCAGCACTAACTCCCAGCAGCAGCAGCAGCAGCCAACGTCCCTTGGCAGGGACACGTGGTCTCTGGGGTGGGTCGGGGGGCTCAGGGAGGGGATGCTGCTGGGGTTTATGCCCTGGCAGAGCTGACCATGGGCTCTCAGTGGCACTGACACTGCCTTGTCCTGGCAGAGGGACCCCACACTGCGCTCTGGTCTCGGGTGACTGCCCAGCTGAACCCTCTCCACACCATCATCGTCATCTACCTGCTGCTGTGAGTGCCCGGGACCTGCTCCCACCCCTCAGGGCTGCAGGCCACCCCCCCTGGCCTCATCCCCACCTCTGCAGGGTGGCACTGCCAGCCCGGGGGTCCCCAGTGCCCCTTGGGCACACACAGGGAGCTGTGGCACTGCCACCCCCGGCTGTGCCCCCTGACACTGGGCTGTCCCCCAGCATGGTGGCCCTGCTGCTGTCCTCGGGGTACATCGGGCTGCGCATCGCCGAGCTGGAGCAGCAGTTGTTTTTTGGAGTTCGTGGGGGCTTGGCCAGACCCCAACCTGTCACAGCAGTGAGTGGGGAGGATTGTGAGGGACCCCCTGACCCCAGCAGAGACCCCACTCACCCTGCCTCCCCCTGCCAGGTACAAGAGGACATGATGCCAGCGAGGACACAGCCATCACCAGGACAACTGCCCAGGGCTGGGAGAGCTCAGGGGCCGCTCTGAGCTCACCCTCCACCTCTTGGGGGGCTCCATCACCACGTGCCTTCCAGCCCCCCACTATGCCTGGGGAGCCCACGGGGGCTGGGGAGGCTCCACTTGCTCCCCCTGTGTCTCCCCACCCTGAGCAGCAGCAGGAGGGCCCCAGGCAGCTCTCAGGGGGACAAGGAGCACTGCACAGAGGGGGCCTGGGGGCAGCACACCACCCCCCAGGCCTCCCCAGCTAGGGGGACAAGCAGAGGGGCCCAGCCCTGGCGAGGCAGGGGCAAAGAGAAGCGACTATTTTATTAATAAAGATGCATAAAATCTTTGTTATTGATTATCTGCTGGGCCAGAAGCCGCAGGACAAGCACCAACCAGGCCCCATACCTACTCCACCCCCTGTTCCCCAGAACACAGCAGGACAGGGGCTGTGACCGGTGGGGGG